GTTGTTGCCAATATCCAGTATGCAGCGAAACGACTTGAGGCTTTTGAGGCCCAACAAAGGTGGCAGATCCGAATCAGAGATAACTGGCGCAGTAAAGCTTCCCGGCACAACAGCACCTTCGTCATTGCTCAAACGGACAGCCATGCGCTTGGCCGCAGCGGCACTTTGCGCATTCTTTCCAACGCCCTCGACACTCAATGGTTTGTTCATGCGTAAGGATTTGGCTTCAACGCCTACAATCTCTTCCATCCTGCTGGCTGTTCGGTCGCCAACCAGATTGTCGTGTGCACCAGGATCCACTAACAAACCCGGCCTATTGTCCGACAACCGAGTACGCAGATGGTACACATTGCTGTCGCTAGCACCTGCCTGGGGTGAGGCCCAATCGACCTCCGCCCTTGACACATCATCGGTCTCCCACCAGGCCATCAGCAGTGAGTTGAGCTGTAACACGGTTCTTTGTCGCTCAAGCTCTTCAGCGCTTGGACCTGGTTGGCTCGGAGGAGGGTGCTTTGGCACGGGTGCTCCAGGTTGAAGTGTTTCTACTCGAGATCCACTACTGCTCGCAGGTTGTGAGGACACATCAGCAACACTCCACCTGGGTGGACTATCCGGACCTACATTCGACCGACGCGACTTGTGTGATCGGTTGCTGCTGACCTGTGACACACTTTCAAGTCGGGCGATGTCTTCATCCAGCGCGGTCATCATTCTCGAACCTCCTGCCTGAGAAGACATTTCACTGGCCGGTCGAGGAGTACCGACATGATAGTGGAATGCAACTCCTGGCATGGCACTGGCGACTGCACCAGCATGCCAGGCTTCTGCTTGGGGAACCACAGCAGAAGCGGTCAAGGCAAGCGCTGCATTTGCCATCTCCGTGGAATGCAAAGTACTCACGCCTTTTCCACCGCCTTTGTTCACTACTTGTGGGCATTTTCGCCAGAGATGCTCATCCGAACCGCACTTGCTGCATCGCAGGATCTGTCCATCTCGGCCTTTCGGATTCTTTCGGGGCATACCCTTGCCAGCTCCCTTGGACCCATGACCTCCCTTGCCACCTGCGAAGGCACTTGGTGGAAGGAAGGCTGCATAGCTACGAGCATATGGACCCGTACGTAGCTTGCTGACATTACGACTTGCCCTGAAATTTGACCTACGATAGCGTCGAGGAGGTTTCCCAGTAAACCTACGCCAACGACGTCTAGCCAACACATAATCCTGATACAGTTCGTTCTCTCTAGCATTGGCGTCGCTTTTTGCTTCACCATCAACATGAACCACGTTGTAGCCCCTGATTCCTTCATCTACTGAGCCCGTGTCTGTCTCCGTAGCTGAAGAAAACTCTTCATCCTCAAAGAATGATCCACAGGTATTGCACCTATCATCATCGCCTCTAGGGCCATTACTTGAGGCACCCCCAACATATTGACCCATGTCTTCGGCATCACCGGCTGCAGCGCAAGCAGCGCTGGTTGTGGGAAACGCTGCTGCCGCCCACGGGTCAAATCCCCCGCCACACGCACCGATCCCTGCATTTAGATCCAACGGCTCCCCAGTTGCATTGCGACTCGAAGTGGCGGAATGAAAAGTTGGATAGAAGTGATAGGTGCCAGGATCACCCACGCCAGCTTGCTGACTGGGATGACGAAGATGACCCTCATATATATGGCCTTGCCTACGGATTCTTTCGAGAAGGGCAAGCAGCTGTGCTTCATTTTGAGGAAGGTTACCATTTAGAGGCTGTAACAAACGATCCAATTGATCTGCAGTCACACTCAACGCGCGAAGCAGCAACCAGGCAAGTCCCTGATGATTGAGTCCAAGTCCTCCTCGGACTGCTGCGCGATTTCGAAGCACATCGAAACGCACGAGAAACGCGTCTACGTTTTCCTGTGCAAGCCTTTGGAAATTCAAGAAGTCGCTCACAGCTCGCGTTTGCGCCTCGCCATCTAGCGGACTGTATCTGCGGGCTAACGTCTGCACTAACAGCATAAGCCCCGTCATGCGCTGGCCTGTCTGAGCGTCAACAACGCCTTGAGCTAGCTGCTCTGGCGGTATTTCCCTCACCAATTCCTTGGCGCTGCCAGTGACTTGCATCGCCGCTATGGCTCCTTGGCGAGCAGCCTCTACATCAGTGGCACTCGCCCACAGCACCAAATCACTGATCCAACTGCGCAAGGAATAGAAATGGTTTCGTTCTACGGACCATGCCGGAGGAACTTTCAGCGTCGCGGTCCCCACATAGGGTGGGCCCGCGTCGCCGACATGTGCATGCTGACGCGGATATTGCTGACCTTGACCTCTGTTGAACCCCGGACTCATCATTGCTACCCCGAAAACACATATGGCCACCCCGAACCACCGCAACCACAACGCAACCTTACTGCTTGCTGCTCGGCGCTTCCGCGTCATTCTTTCACGTTTCCGGCGTCTCTTGCGCTCCTCGCCCTCATGCAAGCGGCGCTTGTGCAAATTCTTGTCATTCGGACGCCTAAACATGCTCATGGTCCTTGGCTCGGGAGTTGTTGGCATTGAGGAATTGCCGAAAGAACCACTCCAGTTGCCAGTCCAAGTCTGCAGCTCCTGACTCGATTTGGCTGCTGGACTGGGGAGTTGACACAGCACGGCATTCAGGCTTGGCATGAGTCTCTCAGGCACATGTAGATTCTTAAAGGCAGTGATGTCAGTACCACATCCAAGTCGCATGTTTGCATCACTCGGAGTGACAGAGCCGTCCTTCACTTCAAAATGGGTTGCGACAACCTTAATGGGAACCCTTGGGACTAGACCCCTACGAGTAGGGCTTGTCTCCGGCTCACCTGCAAACGAAGACTCTGGCGTCTTCGGGCGTGGCACATCTTCATTGTCAGGGGTAGTGTTATTATCAGGGAGGCCTATAACCGTACGGGTAGAGGAATGCACAGGCAACAATGCTTTCGCGCGTCGTGGTTCGCTGGTCGTCACGCCCGAGTCCGGTGCATCCTCCTCGCGTTCCGTTGACTCCACGGGCCACCCATGATCGGACGAGCGGGCGTGCACCACATCGTCACCGACATCACTGCCAGTCACGAAGTGGAGTCCCTCGGCTGTCCGGTCAATGGATTCCTCTGTCCGGTGATCCACAGGAAGTAAATCGCGTCCACTCATCTGAACATCAAGCTCATCTAGCACTGTGATCAATCTGCTCAGCGTCGTCTCCAGTTTGGAAGTCATCGTCGCCTTGGCCATCTCGGCACTGGTCGAATTCTGCTCCTGAATATCATCGCGTGCATTCGTCACAGACGTCGACTCTTGCAATGAGAACTCGCTGTATTTGCGCTCCTCCGCCATCACTCCGCCCCACTCCAACGTGTCACTTCCCTCCAGATAGCATATGATCATGAAGATCGTGACGATCGGGAGCACGCAGAGAAAATAGCGCAATGGAGGAACCAAGCGAGAGCAACCTGAAAGCCCCGCTACCAAGTCGAAATCATGATCGTCGGAAGGATCTGCATGGAGAATCACACGACTTCGCATGGCATCGCGCCCTTTTGCCCTGGAATGGCTCATGTTGCAAGAGTCTTTATCTGTCGTGCACAGTACGAGTATGCACACAAGTACAGCCTAGCTTAGGCTGGGAAGGTCTTCTTCGAAACCCAATTAATATGCAATCTCTGCCTCGAGGCTCGAAAGGCAACAACGGCAAAACCAAGACTCAACAAAAGCAACACGTAGTCGGACAGCACCTGCAGGCGCATTTACTTCTTAACTATTCTACCATTGAAAAGCATGTGCCAGGCGTGCTGTAGGGTGTAGGGCACAGGGTGCTCTACTCTGCTCTCCACAGAGGGAAAAAAGCAAGGTTTTCGGCTTCGCCTTAGCCTTCGCCTTGCTGACGCCTTTGACGCCGGTCCCCTCTGACTTCCCTTGCCTTACGGGTCTTTTGCGATCGAGATAGCTTCGTACCATGGCCTGAACGTTCTCTGGCAGTCTGGCTTTGTTGATGAAGAGCACCGGGTATAGTTGTGGCCGATGGAAGCGCTGGGAGTCTTTGCGCCAGTCCGGTGTCTTCTTGGGTGGCAGTGGGGTGGCCCGGCGGAGTTGAACAGCTTGGCATTCTGACAGCCATAGAAGGAGAGAACTGCAGCGAAGCGTGGACGAGAAATGGGAGAGGCCACTATGGGCACGGATCCAGGCGTTGCCCGAGAAAGACTTGGTCCAGCTATATATATATATATATATATATTTTTTTTTTTTATTTATAGTTATTTATTTTATCTATATATATACATATATATATATATATATTATCTATCTCTCTCTGAGCCTCTCAAGACTCTCTGTATGTATATATATATATATACATATGTGAGTGTTTCGGATCCCACCCTTCCGTAACTTGGACGCACAACCGAGAAGCTTAGATCTCCTGGTCTAGAAGCGACAGATAGCCTTCCGTTGTGCTTGTAGACTCCAAGAGTGCTGCAATGCGGCCCATATGCGCTGCTGATAGATCTCGGTGTTTCCGGTAGTTGCACTCTACTGAAGGTTTCTTGGCGAGGTAGATCGCTTTCAAGTGCTGCACGATCTCTTCTGGGAAGACCTGGAACTGGACGGTGGTGGCCTCCGAGCCACGTGCGAGTGCGTCCACGTCCCGGACACTGCCGGCAACTGCTGTGCCGGCGGCTGCTGTGGAACCCGAGGCACGGCAGAGCATGTCCACATCCAAGACGCTTGTAGGTGACCGCAGTTTGGCTAGCCTCGACAGGTGCCACTCTTGCTGGCCGCTCCGCGAGAGCCGTTTCAGCGCTGGCGGTGTCACGATCTCCTTCTCGTCGGAGTCGTCGGTGCAGCGCCTCTTGGGTGGTGGGGTGCTCGGAGCCGGCCCGCACCAGCTGGCTGTCTGTGACTGACATGCCTACACCTTGGAACAAAAAAAATGGCGATTAAGGTCTGACAGACAGTCCGTGAAAGGTTTCTGAAAGGTTTTGGGAACCCCTGACACGGAGGGACTCCTGTGGCAGCCGCTGCAGGGCAGCATCCGTGGCTGCCGCTGCAGCATCCAGATTCGAGCTGGGGATATCCACCTTGACGGGACTCTTTTGCTTGCAACAAACTGCTGAGCCAACCTGAACGACAGCACACAGCAATCGAATCTCCGCAGATCAGTGCTGAGCCAGCCACAAAGTCCTCAGGCGATGGAACATCCACTAGCAAGTTCGCAACATCATGACATGCCACGATGCAGCACGCGCAGCATCACGCTCTGACTCAGGAGTGTAAAGATGAGAGGCTAAACTCCAGGTGACATCATTGACCAGCTTCTCGATCTCAGCGACGGGCCTGTGTGCAAAGCTCTCTCAGGTTTCAGGCTTCTCGCAGCCCTCTTGCATGAGCTGCTCTCTCGCACGTCAGTTCGGGCTCTCTGTGCTGCGCTACTCCCACTCTCCACACTCTCCACACTCTCCACACTCTCCACACTCTCCACAATTCAGCGGCATGTGGCTGCAAGTCGGCCGGGAGCAAGGACAGGGCAAAGGCGACCTTAGGGTTGCGCAACGGAGCCCCCCAAGCAACTCGGGGGGTGCGTTCTCTGTACTTCCATCAGAAACCCTCTGCAAGTATTCATAGCTTCCTCTATATTTAGCGTGTTGCCGTGGGCTTTCTGCAGAGGGGCACAGAAGTCCCACCAATGCAGCTGGGTGGTCTGATTACGAGGAATTCTGAGCCTTTAGCATTATGGTTTCTGGAGTTGGGCACGCCGCTATACCCGAAAAGACCTGATGCACGAGGCCTGACAAGGCCGCAATCAGTTTTCGGGTTTCTAAGTTTAGGTTCTACGACTTCCTGAGATGTAGCCCCATCAATGCCTCCCCAAGTCCTACACCTTTTCGAGGGGAGTGGGGGAGGCAGAGAGAAGCGGAAGCCTGAACCCCTGACCCCCTCACATGCGTTGGAGCAAGCTTGCCTTTCGTCATGAACTTCATTCGTTCTTTCTCTCTTTCTTGCTATATATCTTTCACCTTTCTTTCTATCGTTCTTCATTTATGTATTTCTTTCTTTCTTCCTTTCCTTTGTTGGTTCTTTCTTTCTTCTCTCGCTGGATACTTTTTCTGCGACATTTCTTGCATTGTTCTCTTCTTTCCTGCTTTTTTGTTTATTTATTTCTTTCTTTCTTTCTTTCCGCCTTTCTTTCCTTCTGTCCCTTCTTCCCTTCAATTCGAATGAAAATTAAGAGAAAGTAGAGGTTTTCCTTTTTCAACATACAGAAAATACAGGTTTTCCTACAAAGTTGTCGAGAAAATGGAGGGAAGTTGGCTTTGGCCCGGGCACTGCAATCTTTCGTGCTTGGGCTGCCTTCTCTGCCTCCTCCCTCGTTTGCCTTTGGCTTACTCAAGTTTACTCCCTTCGCTCTCTTGCTCGGCGTTCCCTCTTTCTCCTACCTCGGCCTACCTCGGCCTCCTTGGCCTCTGCGCCCTTGTTCTTGGCACCTCTTCTCTTCTCGCGCCTCCTCCACTTCCTCCGCCTTTTCAGAAAACGTCAGTAACGGCCAAAACCCCAACGACTAGCAGGAAGCTGTTGCAAACCTGGCCATCTGAAGAGTTAAAACACAGAGAAATACTTTCCTATGAAAACATAGCGACGATAGAGGATTGCCTATGGAAAAGTGGAGAACACCCTCACCCCCCGCCTGGGTACCACCCAAAAAATGACAGAAAACAGCAATACCAAAAAACACACAGGGTTCCCCCCGCTCCCCCCCCCTCCGAAGATGTGAGTTGTTGAGCCTTTCTATGCGTCTCCTCTGCGCAACGTCCAGAACCAACCAGAAGACTTCTCAGGCGTAACATGGCGTAGCCCCTCAGCCTCGGGCCTGCCGCTTGGCCGACACGTCGTCTCTGCAGAGGCCACGCAGAGCTTTCGCCAGGCTTGCAAGGCCTTCACAGAGCGGCCAGGTCCCAGATGAAACTTTGGGTCCTGTGTAGGGCTTTGGGACACTAGGAGATATCCATGTCTCAGACACCCCTAAAATAACCGCTTGAACCCTACAAGAAGCTATCGCGGACATTGATAGAGCCTTGCGCGTCGCTGCCGTAGGAGCCGATGATGCCAAGGTCCACGGCAGCAGCCAGGGCTGCAAACTGCGCACGTCTTGCCTCTGGCGCGGAAACGCCCTCCGGAGGCGACCTCGCCAAGCGCGAAGTGCTACGAAGCGTGGAACATAATGGCAACTGCGCCGTGCATGACGTAAGGCTCTGGCTGCGCCCACAGCTTAATCGATCGACCTCAGTGGAGAATTGCAAAGCAGATCACAGCTCAGACAAAAAATTGCCAGATCGCCAAGAATGCAATCCAAGTGGCGGTCGTAGTTGATCAGCACCTCGGCTCTCGGTTCAAGCGGGTCAGGGCGTGGGAGATAACTTGCTGCGCATCTCCATCCAAGCTGCTCGGGTGAGATAGGTCACGAAGGCCCGCGGGAGCGGGGTCTGCCAAGGTAGGAAGAAGGAACAGACCACATGAGAACACACCAAGGAGACAGACACGGGGAGAGATATGACCCTAAAAGACCCGAGGCCAAGCGGCTTGCGATCCCCGGAGCTTCCGCTTGCTCAACTTCTGCAATTCTTTGGCGCGACGTTTCAGCACCTTGAGCAGAAGTCTTGTTCAACACAGGTTGCACTTCTTTTCACCTCTTCATCTCTTCACCTCTTCACCTCTTCACCTCTTCACCTCTTCACCTCTTCACCTCTTCACCTCTTCACCTCTTCACCCCTTCACCCGTTCACCGCGTCGTCTCGTCAAGAACAGTCTTACTTTTGGGAGTTCTTCCCGGCTTGGGCAAGCGGCGCTTGCGGTTGTCCAAACCTCACCCAGGTTGTCTGTCTCAGTGTAGACGGGAGCCTCGCAGAGCCAACGCATGCCAAGATGTGCCCACACGAGCGAAACAAGCACGTAGACGGAAGATGCAGAGCTAGATGACCGGAGTGAGCAATTTGAGCAGAAGCACGAGAGCAAAAGCGCGCGGGGGCCTCCGCTCTGGCCTCCTCCGCCAGCAGGGCCACAGCAACGGCATCAAACAAACGCCGCCGGCCAGGACTGGGAGGAGAAGCGAAGAGAACGAAGACAGAGAGGAGTCTGAGAACAACGACGAAGAAGCACGGCGAAGACGAACAGCAAAGAAGAAACGAAGAATCAAAAAAAATGATGGCGTATCTTGCGGCACCTGGAAGGAGCGTGACCCGGTTCGCACCAGGCCTGCGACCTCCGTAGCTGAGCTTCACACTCGGGACAACTGCAAACTCCCACTCTCCCCAGCAGTGCACAAGTTGTTTTGCGGGAGACCTAAACCTAAACCGCAAAGTCGGTCAGCTGATGAGACAGGCCGAGGTGCACGTGCCGCGCTGCGAAAGCCAGCACGACGGCGCACACCGCCACCCGCCAACGGTCATGCTTACGCATTGCATGGAAAATTGAAGCAAACCATTGAGCTGCGTATGGTGTCGCTCCTAGCTGTGTGAGGCTGCAAGTCACCTCATCATTCACTGCAATGTGTACAGAAGCCATCGAAGGCGTCAAAAAGCGCTGTGTCGCAGCGTGTCTGGTCTATCATGCAGCTGCGGGCACTAGGCGACAGCTGCTCAGTCAGCTCATAGAAGAAACGAAGGAGACAGACTACAAAATGTGGCCCGATTTGTGGGTCAAGCCTCGCTGCTCCAGCTGTCCCGGAGCTCCACCTGGGGCCCAGGGGAAGTGAAAAAACACTCAGGATGATGTTTGAATGACGTTTGAGTGATGCCTCCTCCACCTTCCCCTTGGCAAGCGGTGGCATCGCCGCTCGCAGCAGCTTCAAAGCCTGGCAAACCGGCTCAAACTCCACCTCAAGATCCGTCCGCATCCGCAAAAGACGTTGGGCCAAGTGTGCATGTGCACGCGTGCGTGCGTGCGTGCGTGCGTGCGTGCGTGCCTGCCTGCCTGCCTGCCTGCCTGCCTGCCTGCCTGCCTGCCTGCGTGCCTGCGCGCGTGCGTGCGTGCGTGCGTGCGTGGAAGAGCTCCCCTTGCCTTTCTGGCATCCCGAAGGCTGCGCTCATCGCAGGTTGGGGCAAAAGTGTCTGGCAACTTCTCCTGAGTCACGGGCCGGCCTTGACACACCCCATGTTGTGAAGCTCAACCCGGAACCGTTTGAGGGCTGCACCGCGTCGATTGGCTCAGCTGCAACTGAGAGCATTCCAGCGCAGAAACAGGGCAGAAAGGGTGGCTAACTGATGTGGTTGTGCGTCCAGAAGTCTCAGTCACAAGGCATAACAGACTGAGGAGGGAGCAGCTGGCCCGAATCGTCAAAGCCTGAAGGGATCTGAAGGAATATGTAGGCAGCAGAACTAAATTACAAGGAAGAAATGAAAACACCAACGACAGCTTGAAGCACCCCGACTGGCCCTTGCCTTGCCACTTCCTCCAACCAACCAGCCATCGAACTCTTTGCGAGGATGGTTGGCAATCTCCTGCTCTTCTTAATCCATATCTACGGAGTGCGTGCACATCATCTGCAGAAGCAAACCAAAAAAACAGCAAGCAGCTTCTGCCATAGCAGCCCGCAAACCGCGGTATGCCATCAATCACCCAACAGCACTCTACACCACACAGTACCGGCACATCTCTACGCGCTCCCAGTACACTACCAGTACTGCTCGCACATCTCTACGCGCTCATGGGCGGCACGGATGACCCCGGGGCACCTCGCCACTCTGCAAGGAGACGCCGACGAAGAGCCCCCCGGCGCCAGCCGGTGAGGCGGTGACTTCATCCATCTCGCAGCTTCAGTGACTTCAGCTTCAAAAACAGAATCAACCCACAGCGAAAGAGGCTTTTGCTAAGCATGCTTAAGGCACACTCAGCCACAAAGCCAACAAGCCCAGGCCTCGATCTCGTAGTAAGATGAGAAGCATCCTGTATCCGGACGTGTCAGGATACTTCGGCTTGACACTGCTTGTGAGGACACCGGTTGAGACAGGTTGTGGCGGTTGCCAAGCATGCCCGGAGCACCCGGAGTGCCGAAATGCCTGCAGGGACCATCGCCTCAGGTGGGCAGCACATCTGGAGATCATGAGGACAGGGAAGACTGTTGGAAGGCGCACCCACCGCCAGCCCCTCAGTGTTTCCAATCACCTGGCAGAGCAGCTGAAGACAGCTGAAGGCGGCTGAAGGCAGCTGAAAGCAGCTGAAGGCAGCTGAAGGCAGTGCGGCGGCATTCCCCAATATTTCGGTACAAGCTCTGCACAACGAGGACGGGCATACGACGCCGGTAGCTGCCAGGAAACCACGGCCTGTTCCAATTGTGCCAATTGTGCTGATAGATGACATGAATGACATGAACATGAACCCAGGGGTTGATCGGCTGCACTCGACTGTCAAAGATGCGGCTGCCGCAGCCTACTGCAATGGACAGATCTGCCGAAAGCTGCACATCCTCACCCTGCGGCGGAGAGTGCTCGCAGCAGAAACCAACAGTGGCTTTGCAGCTCGCTTCCTTCGCGGTGCGATGCCAGTTGCGGAAGTACAGAACTGCGGGTGTGAACCTCGCAGGATTGCTGCATTGAGCTTTGCGACTTCGGGCAGTGTTCCCAGCCCGCACGAAGCTGCTCGCTGAGTCTGCGTCTCTTGCCACTTTTCGCTGGCCGCACCCTCCAAGCTGAGAACTCGCGTGCTGACCTGAACAGCTATGCGATGCGCCCTACGTCACACGATTTGGCACATCAGTAGCCCGGTATGGCCTGGAAATTGTCGTGCCGCAGGTGCTCGTTGTCTTCCCGCACCTGTGCTGAGAGCGACCACAAACATCGCACAAGCTGCTATGCTCGTGGCCAGGCACCTGCCCGAGGAGTGTTCGCATCTCCTCATTCTCCTCGCAAGGTGCAAGCGAAGCAAAAGGCGGCCAAGATAGTGTCTTATGTCATATCATATCCCAAAAAGAGTCACATTTCAGAAATCTTGAACCATTTTAATCCAAGGATTTGCAAGGAAGTCCACGAACAGCCTTGCTACGCACCTTTGCCCTGTGATGTCCGGGGATACAAGTTTGCTTCAGACTGCTTCAACCACACGCAGTCTTCACAACTTCAGAGACCAGACCAGAGCTGAACGCAAGGGGCCTGTGGATGGCTCCAACATTTGTCTCTTAAAATGTTGAAAGAGGGGGCTTTGTCAGCGTTTCGACCTGGAAGCATCTTTTCAACTCCAGGGGCCTCCACCACACCCAGTGTGCGGTTGGCCAGCCGCTGATGCTCTTCCTCAGTCTGCGCGGGATGCGCGGGATGCGTGGGATGTAGGGATGTGTAGTGCCATGTAGAGCCCCACTCCGAGTCACAGGGATCCTTGGCAGGACCCAGATCAGCACCCGACCATTAGGAGGCGGAGGTCATCCGCGATGAGCTGCATGCGCTCGTTGAGAATCTGGGGCAGAAGTGTCTCTTACATCGGCAACCTCTGACCGGACTTCTAAAGCTGCGGAAAGGTAAACGCACAACGACTCTGCAATCTGCCTGCTGGTCGCGGCGCAGGTCGGCATCCGCCTCGATGCCAACATCGATCTTGCCCATGATGTACCTGGGGGGCGAGTAGGACTTGACAGAATGTTCGACAACCCTTCCTTCTCTGACAGTGCATGTAAAGTATCACTATCACCTGCCAGGGCACTTTTGAAGGTCCTTCAAGTCCTGGCGTGAGTAGAGCCAAGGGAAAGAGAGGGGGGACAGAGGATGACAGGACTGATAGGAAGAGAGGGAGGAGAAGCAGAGCGTTCAGGCACGTTAGGGTCTCAGTCTCGAGCCCGCTTCCCCACAAATCCTCCAAACTCTATGCTGTGAGTTGCCTGCCTTTTTCCTGTCATTAGTGGTTCCGCGGAAGTGTAAGGAAATGCCACGGCGCCGCATGCTTCGCAAAAACGAAGGAATTTCAACGTGTCAACCGTGCTGGTTTCCAAAGGTCTCTGCACAATTATGCTGGCTTCGGCTTCTGAACTGAGGGCCGTAGCTAGGAGACAGCCCTCACACTTTTCTAACAACTTCTCACCACAGCGGCTGTGGCTTGCGCAGCGTTGTTGAGAGTAGCTGTGAAATGAAGGTCCGCGAGTTCCCCCGAAACGACAAAGGCGGTGCTAAGCGCTAAGATGTGCTATGCCAGCCCTGGCAGCTGCTGCAAACTGAGCGCCAGAGAGCGTCGTACCCTGAAGTGTCGACAAACTCGAACTGTGAGACTTCGATAGACTTCAGGGATGTGCGGAAATGTGCAAAGTGCAGAGTGCTGCCCGTGCGCGAAAGCGAACCAGTGCGGAACAACCCCCTCTCTCTGCCTCTCTCGTCTGTAACAACATTCAAAGAAGGCTTACCCAGCAGTCGCCTGGCTGGTCCTTTCAACTATGTCCCGCAGCTCCTCCTGCAATTTCAAGAATGGAGTTAGTTGTAAGCGTTTGAATTGCTTGCGCACCGGTGGCGTGGGGGATTGGGGTCTGCGCCTTGTCTCGCAGCCATTGGCTGTCCAACACATTCAGGCGGTTGATGCAGTTCATGACCTGAGCTACGCCCCTTCAATGACGTCCCACTCAGGGGAAGCACATCCTCCGGCCTCGTCCCTCATCTGCAAGGCGTTGGCGCTGAGTTCCCGCAGCTCCTTTTCACTTCGAGAACGGGCGAGAAAGGCTGCACTAAAGTCAGGCAGCCTTGCAACCGCACCACCCCCCTGCCTGCAGATCAAACTGCGCCAACTTCTCGGCCACAGAGCGGATGTCTTTCCTGCACATCGAAGGCGTGCGACTGGGAGATCACACACCCAAACCCGTCACATGCATCCGAGATGCTCGTTCTCGTTCTGCTTGTTCATGACGGCCTCAGCTTGGGCAGATACGGAACGTTGAGCTGCCAAAGAGGGAGGCAAGATGACAAGAAGCCAAAGATGCAGAGCCCCAGAGGAAGCCCCACCTGGCCTCCAGTGCCGGACCGACCTCGTCGTAGATGGTGGTCTCGCACTGCGCGAGCGGGCGGGTAGCACGGTGCAAGGACCCATCCCTTCAAAGACGGGCATTGTTCTCAAGAACCGCGACCACGGCTGCTTGCTGTCCCTGATCCTAGCTTTCCTATGCACTCCTATAGGTCCTAGTTACGACCTAGTTTGACCGATCAGACTGCAGTGACTGAAGTGAAAGAGAAGAGAAGGCCCAGCAGAATTCAGGGAAACAGAAGATGACGCTCTGTCCATGAGGAGGCCTTTCTCGCATCTGCATATCAACGGTAGGATATATGCAAATGAACAGGACCATTTGGTGGTCCCACGATGAGCGGCACAAGACGAGCAGAGCTACAAACGTTCCTACATTTCCCACATGTCAGTGCCATTATTCTGTTGTAGATGAACACAAAGACTCCCGAGGCGTGAGGCCACGGGGTGAACATGGTGAAAACATAAGTGGTCTCCTGCCCTTTCCCTGCTGGCTCGCTGGAACAAACTTACGAAAACACTTCTATACTTACATGAGAAACAGCTCAACATCAAGAAGGTAAGCTGTAAACGGGAATGGGCACGAGCATGCATTTACGGCTGCTTCGCGTGCCGGGGACCACGAGCAACATGCGTTGGGAGACGTCCTACGTAACGACGTAGCCTACGTAGCCTAGAGCCTACGTGTAAAGAGCTTTGCCCCGGAGGCGTCGAGTCCGACACCGAGTCGTTCTCTCACCTGGCTGTGCCGTATCGAATGGGCCTTGCCACGCCGCACATTCACACATGCAATCACATGCAGTCACATGCAGTCACGTGCAGTCACGTGCAGTCACGTGCATGCGTGTGCACTGCTCTGACGCAAAACAAGCATGCCTCGATGATCACATCTGCAGCCAAGGGGCTTCTTCAGTGCCATCCACTCCGGCAAGCCCTTCTCGCTTTCTTCGCGCTTCAAGACACGGAAGCCCTGATCAATGCCACCCACCTGCAAAGGACTTGCAGCCAAACACTGAATCACATCAGCGTCGCGCGAGGCAATGTAGGCTCAGCCTTCGCCCCGGGTGCCCCTTCACCCTGGGTGCCCCTTCGCCCCTTCGCCCCTTCGCCCCTTCGCCCCTTCCCCCCTCCGCCCCTCCGCCGCCCTTCGCACAGCCTCGAAAGGCTTGCGGGCTTCCTGCTTCTCCGCAAAGGCATCCTCGTCTTCCTGGAGGGCATATGCGCCGGGGACATCTTTGGGCATAACGGCATATCGGGCGCCGGTGACGTGCCTCCTTGTCCAGCAGAAGCGAGGTGCCGGCAACTATTCTCTTGTGTTTCACCGCTCGGCTGATTGCCACGTTCAGCTGAGCCTCATGGCAGAGCATAACCGCATGTGCGAGGATCACGCATGCATACGCAGCTGGGATGCCACTTGCCACTTCTGGTAGGCATCTGCTCCGAGGTTGTCCTGCCAGAGGGACAGCCTTTCATCAGCATGCCATTGTTGCTATCATTATTTGCTACCTTTCCGTCCTTCTGCACAAGGCTGTTTTCGACACCTGAAAAAAGGACCAAAAGCAAAGCCCCGGCGTGAGAATGGACCTCCAGATCTTGGTGACTGGCCCATCTCTTCGAAGATCTCCTCAACAGTCTCTTCGCCAAGAACATCACCTGGAATGAACCAACACAAGCGAGTTTTTCAAGCTGTTTGCTCTCGCCATGCCTCTTCCCTTTTGTCTCTGAGGATATCGATGATCTACTGCAATGCAGCCGGCGCCACGACATCTTGCCATCAGGTCTTGGGTGAAGATTGGACCCTTCGATGGGCGGTTGCCGACGAACTCTACCTTGAGGCACAGTGGTGGCAGCCGTAGCCCATAGCATCCGATAGCCCATAGCTTCCACCCATGCACGAATCATCACTCACCATGCCGCCCAGGTTCAAATGCCCGCTCGATCTGTTCCATCGCTCGGCGCTGGCCCCGCACACGCAAGAGCACGTCGAGCCGAAGGCGATAGGCCTCGAGCACAAAAGAGTACAGTCTTCTCAGATTAGCAAACCGATCTCAGCAGCCGCAACACACCATAACAGGCAGAACATGGCAGAACATGGCAGAACACACCTACAGTACCAAGGAGGAGGAGTCAGCGCACCTGGATGCTAAGCGGAATGCCGCGATCCTTCACCGCCTTCAGCAGGCTCATGGTGCGGACGGCATCAGCGACCTTCACAGTTGCGCGCAGTTCCCGGCGGACGTGAGATATTACGTGAGTAGAAACATCGGGAGCAGGCCTTCACATAAGACTCCGCCATTGCATAATACGGAAGCCTTGAAACGAATCGTTTTGCTCAGTAGCACAGTTCATGCAGCTATAGCCCAATAACACGACAGTCACTACATGTCACTACAGTAGCAGAGGAGCCCGACAAAGGCCCCCCCCCAAGCCGTCCAACCTAGCCCATGCCAAGGAGCCCTGCATCTCGAGGATCTAGTAGCTCTCCTAAGATGCCTCTGGCTTCCGCCCTGAGATACAGCTTCAGCCACCGCAACATCTGATACCTCGCGAGAAGGTCGAGAACATCTATCTTCAGCACACTTTGTTCACAGGGGCCTGTTGCCGATGTGCTCCCAGGCCTCTATAACACCTCTGCCAAAACAGGGTCTCTTGCAATAGAACGAGCTGAGTGGACGCTTTCGGGTACACTTCTCTTTCCCCACCTGCGAAGCTGCGTGCATCCGGCCGGAGCCCCCCTCGATTCATCTCCCGCAGGTACTGCGCGGCCTCCCAGGTCCAGCCAACGGGAGGATTCGGAAGGACATGGAAGGATGGTGCGTGCAATAACCTGTCTGTATTTCTTTTGCATCCGGTGACGAGGCGATCTGATATTTTATGCGCCCCCCACCTCTAGCGGCCGGCCTACCTTGGCATACGCAGAGATGAGGCAGTTCATTTCCCAGCGGCTGTCCTGGTACAAAGAGGAGCCCGCGGAGCATCCAGATGCTAAACATCGGCAAAAATCGTGGTGTCGCATGGTGTCCTCGTCTCGAGTGGATTCCGTTTTCCTCCAGTCGATCCACCATCGTGCGGCCGCATGATGCCCAGTTGCCCCAAAGGCGAGCATCAACAACTGCACAGAGGGAAGATGCAAAAGGATGCAGAAACATGCAGAGGATGCAGTTCGGTTATGCCACAGGAGGTGAAACACATTTAAGAGGGACAGTGCGTGCGCCTTGTAGGTCTGCCTGCTGGGCTGCAGGTCGTTCAGCAGCATTTCCCAGGCCCATCCCCTTGTGCATGGAAGGAATCGTGCTCGCGATACCACAGTGTGCCACAGTGTGCTCAGCGTTTGCCAAAGCATCCAAGAAGCTTCGCACGCTTGGCGAAGTGGTGGCGCTGGATCAAAAGCGGGTACCGCACTTCCTGGCGCGCTCGCTGCGCAAAGACCTCCCAAGATCTCGCACGGACGCGGGGTGGCGTGAGCATCTGCAAGCATCAACGAAAGCTCTGATCTAGACTGCACCATGCCTGAATGACTCTGTTGAAATCTTCTTCACTTGGAACGGAGCCGCTAATCAGCTGTCGTCTGAGACGCTGCTCCCTCTTCGTAGGCCGTGCAACCTGTCCGAAGTCGGGTCTGCAAGGTCAAAGCGAGTATCCGGTCGACGTTCCCTCGCGTCGCCAGTGACTTTCATTTTCCAGCCTTCCCAGGGATGGCCATGGGAGGTCTGAGCTTCATCAGCTTCTGCATGGTAGACCATCTTCGCACCTCACCACGCCAAGCCGCCAAGGAAGCCCTTGTTTCTGCACAACATCGCCACCAAGCCCCATGCGAGGTAAGGATGCTTTCCGTAACCAGGGCCCCACCTCACACATATAGACACACAAGCACATACACATGCACACGCATATGAACATACACATACACATACACAGACGCACACCCACGACAGAGAGAGAGAGAGAGGGAGAGGGGCACGTCAGTGCATGCATCCTCGTACATCCGCATGCTTTGCAGGCGAGGCACCATACGCGCTGGTGATGGGTAACCCTGTCTTTGGCATTGAACCTTGGTTACCGACAACAAGCCTTTGCAGAGCTCCAAGCCGTGCTACAACCCGAGGACTGCACGGCTCAACCTTGGGAGACACAGGGGCATATGGCAGGGACATTGCAAGGCCTAGCTGTGCCTCACTCATTCGTACTCCCAACAAAAAGGCAACAAAGAGCTGAGGCAAGCACCACTCGGGATATGGGAGCCTGACCACAACGGACGAAGTGCGCATCATGTCTCCAGCAATGCACCAGGCTCTGCACATGGTCAAACCATGTCTTACCCACCTCCTTTGGAACCTTGACGCTGCCGGGATAGACAGGCGCCCTCAGAGCCGGTACGCATCTTATGTCTAATGATGAACCAAGTGTCAAATCCTGCAGTACCATGATTGCCCCCCTTTGTATTCTGCCGAGGATCAGCTCATTCTTCGGAGCCGGAGGCTTCAACAGCTCCTGCAGCGAAGAGAGAAAGTGCCATGAAGGAGGAGAGGAACGGAGAGGAGAGGTCCTGGGGAGCTTTACTCGGCACATGCGGCGGCGCACGGCAGTACGACACAACTGACGCCGCTCGCTCCTGAAGAGGCGGCGCTGCAGCCAGGCCTCCCCCGAGGCCGCTCCGTACCGCACCGAGTGCCAGCGCCTCGATCCCCAAAGCACAAAATGCGTAACAGCACAGCACAAAAAGCTGCGACACCCCGCAGGAGACAAAGAGACAGAGAGAGAACGCAAAACACAAAACGAAAGACGGATGTAAACCGACACAAATCGATCTAAGCCGAGCGACGCTGCCGACAAGAAGTGCCTGCCACCTGCCCGTCACGGGTGCCATGAAAATTTCTCGACAGAGCCATCTGGAAGATCTTGCCTCGAGATTGGCCATCGACGTCTCATTGCATCGCTCAAGACCTGGCCTGTCAGAGCTCCAGGACTTCCAAATACTCCAAATCGACTGTTGCTTTCTTCACAGAAGCTGGCATCGAAAGACTCCCGCCTGACTTGCCCAAGCTTTGTGTTCAAAATAGCTTGAGCCATAAATGGCATTGGAATGTAAGGTCAGCCCTCGTTCCTTGCCGAATGCCACTCTGGCAGCTAATCTGCTAGATGCTCCAGCTTCCCAAGTCCCCACCTGCACTGACCTGCTCCTACTGCCACCAAAATCTGTAAGAACACTTCAGAAGTTCAAGAGCTTGAGATGCAGGCGAAATCTGGCACGCTGCACCTTCTTGATCATCTTGACAAGCTCCTCTGATGCCACCTGCTTTGCGTCCAAAGTCTCCGAAAGATCTGCTAAGGTTTCACCATCTACCTGCCTGCAGCTTCATGCTGCTCCGCTCTTCGGATTCTCTCAGCGCCACCTGACACGTTGAGTCCCTTTTTTTGGGCATGAGCCCCGCTAAGGTCCACTTGCCGGCATGCCGGCACGCACCTCCAGCGCGTCGAGTCGCGCAGTCAGACGACTGTTGTCGGCCTGCCACGTTTGGCAGCCATGCATGTTGCAGTGAAGGCGCGAATTCTCACGGCTACTGCTTGTGGTTGAGACGGATCATGCGTCGCAGGGACTGAACGCCCGACTCGCGCCACGACATGTCGACTCACACGCCGCCCAACACATCAACTGTGGGATGCAGGTCTCTTGATGTCTCTTTCGTAGCGATCAGAAACGTCAGAATCCGGGGTCTGCTTCAGGGTTTTGAGTTCGGGTGTCCTTCGTCCACTTTTCTACAGAGTCACGGAGCACTCTGAATCTGCAGACCCTGAACCGGCACCTCCCCTTAAACAAATGGGGAGGCCTTAAAAGAAACTGGAAGGGAAAAAAAACTACACGAAGAAGGGCGAGGGGAATTGTTCAAGGAAGATCTGCAGCACAGCGGAATCTGAAGAGCAGACAAGCGAAAGACTGCGCAGGCCAGAAAAGCCAGAAACGCGTGTTCGACAGCGTCGTGGCTCGAGTCGACAGCGCTTGATTCACGTGGTGCTCGGTGAGTTGAGAAGAAGGCGTGAACAGATGTTAACAAACTGCCCAAGGCCTCCAGCGCCCGGATCCGAACGAAGTGCAGGTGCTCCCGGACCTGTGGTTCGATGCGCTGATATCCAAACCATACTGAAATATTCAGCCATGCTATCCGATGGTCTCTCCCTGCGTTGTGAGAAACCACTCGAGGCCTCGATGATGCACTCTCCGGACCCTGCCGTAGAGAGTGCCCGCTGCAGGTCCTGCGGTATCCCGTGTTCGCGGAGACATCAGGCCAAGAACCGGAAGCTTCGGGTCCGCAGGAGTTGAGATCTTGCCATAGACATCGAAGAAGTCATACGTGCCTGCCCCAAGCCGGAAGCTGCTCTCCTAGAAAAACTCTCCTACTCTCCTTCTCGGCAAGTCTATAGCTCTGCTGGCCGTTCTCGGTTGAAGTTCTTGGGGCTGCCAGTCTGAAACCAATGTCACCCTGCTCTCGGAAGACGTTCATGCCAAAAACCTGCTTGTTTGGGCTAACAACAGCAAAGCCGCTCATGGCTTGCTCAGGCACTCAAGAAACGACTATTCCGCTTCTTCCTTATTCATTCAACTTGATGACTACCTTTCAGTGCTGAATCAACGATGCAAGAGGTTGGAGCCTTCAGGCAGTCCCAGCTTCTCTTCCGCATCCTGCAAACTAACAAGCAAAACCAGCGACTACGGAACAACCCTTACAAAAACATTTCAGAGGTCTTTCGTGGCTATCCTGGAAGAAAGCTTCTAAGTTCTTGATCGATCGCACGGCCTGAACCCGGAAATGCTTGCAATCAGTTTGCTGCACAGGCTAAGCACCGTCGGCTGCCCACGCGAATACAGCTCTGCTTCAGTTGATCTGCTATTCACTTTCGTACAGCTTTAGAGAGGGGCGCGTGAGCATAGCAAACTCTCAAGCTGCTTTGATCTCAGTGCTGCGGCATCCGCGCCGGACCCTCGTGCCATGACCTGCACCGGCACAAACGCTATCAGCAAACGTTGACGCAGCGGTATGCGGCGGCGGTGTGATTGCTGTGCGCGCGGCTCTCTTGTCGCCATAGGCGAACACGAGTCTTTGCGACATGGCCTCATGACTCATAGAATGCCTCATCTGCAGGTATTTGCAGACTTGGGTACCAATCCAGGAGCAACCCAAGGGTCCAGCCGCAGTGGGGCCCTTCCGCCCGACCCCATCCAATAAAAGGAAGCTCTGCAAAGCCGCGAGCAGCAGCGGCACACGATTGTGGTCGATGTTCGTGCCAGACAGGCTAGTATAGCAAGTTTAGCAAGTGCATGAGGCTGAACCAATCCTTTTGCCTTTAAGAAGGCGCGGCGCTGACGGCGGGCCTAGAGAAGCTCGCCTTCTCTGCCAGCTTCGGCCCCGACAACGGCTCCACAAGCCGGTTTGCTTCAGTGTCTTGAGGTCTTGTTACACAGTTGCCAGAGAGCTGTCACTGTGCTTGTCCTATTACCTTGCACTGCGTTTCCTGGAAAGTTGAGGAGGACAGACGTGCATCTAGGCGTTTTGCTCAGTGTGCCACACCATCCACCCAGACATACTTGCCTCAGGTGCTCTCTTGTGACTGCTCTGCAGGGGGCACATTTGAAATGCAGCTCCGGAGGCCTAAGTTTAAAGCAACGGCGACCTGCCGAAGGCCTCGAGCTGGGCTGCCCGGCTCAAGAACTTCTTGTGGAAGTCGCTGCGGACCTCAAACAGAACTCGAACAAAACAGCTTGGCGGGGACGCTGATTTGCCTGTGTCTTTCGCGCGCAGCTTTTCTCCAATTCTGAGATTCCAGCAGCATCGTTGATGTAACGCTGCTTGACTTTTGGCGCAGTGCGTGCCTTGCACGACAATGCCAAAGGCACAGGATAATTCGTCACAGGGGGGGGGGGTGCGTCACAAGAGCCTGGTTTTTGAACACGGTGTCGTCATCCCACCGCCTGAATTGCCGCGAGTGCGCTCTATGGTCTCGAAGTGCAAAGCAGGGGAGGGCGAGGAAGAGAACACTCACCGGCCTCTTCAGTGACACGTCGGTACCCTCTGCTAGCAGGGGATTGCCCTTCATGACCTCATCCTTACGAGAAAGTCTCATAATCTCGCGCTTTCGCACCGGTACATTTCTGATACCGTCTCTCAGGGCTCCGCCCTCTGCGCCCGCTTGTCTTGCTTCGCTTGCAGCGCCTCAAAATTCAGTGCATGGCGGTGTTCCTAGACACTGAAAGAAATCTCGCAACTCGGCAAACTTCACGTACTTTTCATATGTCGCCGCCTTCTTGGCCTCCTCCTCTTCTTCTCTTTCTTTCTTGATCTTGGCCAGTTCTCTCATGAGTTCCTAGCTCACCAGGATAGCAAGCATGTGGTCGGCACAGCTTAAGCAGAACTGTTGTTCCACTGTTTTTTCTGCTGTTCCCTTGAGAAGTCTGAACATCAATGCCGGCAATCCCCTGCAAACTCTCAGCAACCAACCACCTGCATGTACTGATTCTTGAGTACGGGGACGACACAACCGCGAACCAACCATAGCCCACACCTCCGCATCGTCGTCGTCGTCATCATCATCTTAGGAGATTGGTAAAGTGGTTAAACAACGAATGACGGAAAGTTATCCAAACACTCCATGACGAGGCTGTGAGGAGGAGCCCATGGAAGTCCGGATAAACACGCAGGGCCTAGCAGGAGGAGTCTAAGTAGCCAACCCTCGTCCTCCGCTTCCTCCTCCTGGTGAGAGTAGAACTGAGTAGAGTGAGCTGCAGCATGAAAGATGGTGTCCACAAATGGTGCTTTGTGCATCTTTGTGCAATGGTCCTTCTCATCCTCACTGGGGAGCTCCTCGTCGGCATCCTGAGGCAAGGCTTTCCTGGCAAACCACCAGCCAGCTCATGCCGACGTCAACCCTGCCTCAGGGAATGGATTGTCTTCTAAGGATGGTCTCTTTTTCTCCTGTCGAAGAAAAAAACTGCACGGGGTAACACTCTTCGTGCTCTCTGCCGGGAAGTGCACATCACCCATACCCACAGTGTACAGCAGGAGGATGCTCAGCACTCAGCACTCCTTGGTTCTACCTTCTCGCTCATCCTTGGCCGCCTTCTCCCTTCGCTCCAAGTCCTGAACTTTGTATGGCTTATAAGAGAGAGAGAGAGAGAGGCAGAGAAAAAAAAAAAAAAATCGAGTAGCTACACATAGTTACACAATCTAAAGAAGCAAAGATGCTTATCGCCGCCTGCAGGATCAGTGGAGAGCACATCTTTTCAATCTGCGCCACTGCCGCTTCAATTGTCCTCGGTGAGATCTGCCCTGGACCCGCGATCTTCGAGAAGACCCTGGCCAGCCTGTGGTCCCCCCATACACCCCCCACGCATGTTACATGCACTGCATTACAGAAAAGAGCACCGGCATCGCCAGGACCCCCCAACAAATCGCCTGCCGAAACTTCATCTTCTTGAACGTGGCGGCATCTCTGTTGTTGATCTTGGCACGCATCAGACTTGCAGTGGCCCTGCAGTGCCACAGCCGGGCATTTATTCAAGCACCATGAGGCTGAGGTTGAGGCTTTGGTTGTTTGAGCAACCATCATGTTGCCACCTAGCACCCAGAGCCCCCCAACTCGTAACTGTCGGTTCGACTCGAACAGGTAGCCCTTCTCAGGCTGGGACCGGGGTTGCTGTTGCTGGCAATCGCCGCATTCCTGGCCCAGGGTGAGTTCTCAAACGCTTTCGGGAAAGTCTGCTCTCGCCAACTTGTCCGTGTAAGTGCAAAGCGCACTTGGACTCTTGGACTCTTGGACTCTTGGACCCTCCCCGCCATGTTGGTCGATGCGCCGTCGTCATCGCTACGGCTGTGGCCCGGAGGGGCTCCCCAAGCTCCTGCTGTCTACTCTGGGCCAAGCCTCCCAAGCACATTCAGCACATTCCAGCAACCAGCACCAAACTCCCAATACCTGTCCGCATGACAGGGAGAGGCGCCAAGGCCAGAGGGAACAGAGGGAACAGAAAGAACAAGACATCGCAAACGCGGCATGAGCCTCCACATTTTGCGTCGTCTCTGGTGCACGGGCGCGCATTTGTGACTGACTGCTTGGCAGCCCCCTGCGCACTGCAACCTGGACTACCTGGCTACCACTCGCATCTGTCTCTTTCCCAGACACCGAGATCTCTTAGAGATCGTACCTGGGGCCACTTGGCCATTGCAATATCTGCAGATACTTACATTGTTTTTCAAGGATGTCAAAGCTTGGAGTGCTTGTCCGGCACTGACTTGATGGCGCACGTGGCACGCGTGCGGCTGTGAGACTGTACAAAGAGGCACGCTGCTGCTTTGCTCGAAGCGCTCGTAGCAAAGCCACTGTTCTTTGCGACTCCTATTGACTGCGACATGCTAATTCGTTTGTGGCTACATTCGGCATCACAGGCCACACCTGCTTGCCTCACCCGCGAACTGACTGGACATGAATCTGATCGCTCAAATTCCGCCCGGCAACCGAGTCAGGAGTTTGTAGTGGTGGGTGCCTTTCTGGACTGAAACGAGGGTTCTGAGTGACACTTGCAGGTCTGAGTCGCAAGATGCCGCAAGATCTGAAAGTCTTTGATCCGGACAGCTCTTGAACTGCTCGTACCGGCTCTGCTGCTGGTTCCTGAGCAGAACGGGTCTGACAGCCTGAAGCGTGGAAGATCGGGCGCCCTGCACGACAAGCACAAAGACACGACACGACAGAAGGGCTCAGCCCACTACAGGCAAGCCTCTCGACCTGTTACCGTCTCTCCTGCACACTCCGACGCAAACTGATGGAAGTACGTGTGGGCCATGCGTTTTGTCCTGCAGAGGCGTAGTAGTGATGCATGGAGTTGAGGATAGGCCTCAACCTTAGCACAGAGCGTGGCCTATCATGGGCTCAGAGCATCAGATCCCAGCTCGGATCCCACCAAGGCCCATCAAGCCGCTGGCTCTTTGGCATCCAGGGTCTTTAGAAACCTGTTGCGCGCAGAACTCAAAGAGACGGACACTCTCCTGAGGGCAGCACATGAGTCGTGCACAAAAAAAGCGGCGTAAACTTGCCGGTCTGAGCCCCGAGACCTGCTACAGCATGACAACATGATACGACTTGAACAGCAGATGCGGTTACGGTCATTACATGTCATTACAGTCATTACATGCCCTACGGTCAGTGCCATGACATGGCTCCAAAGGATGCAGAAGATTGCAGTATCCGAATAACTGCAAGAGCCTTGCAGAAGCTCGTGCGCATGGGGCCCCAGGGGATGTTGTGGCTCGGGAGCTCCTCCTTCAGAGAGCTAAGGCGTTGCCGACAATCAGGAAGTCTGCACGTTCCCCGTCCTCGGCTGCCGCAGACAGCCTCAGTCTGAAGGACAATGAAGGGGACGGAACAGAAACTGAGACAGAGAACACGTGAAACCTGCTCTCCTCAAAGAAGGCGTCCTGCTACGCATTCTGCTGAGCCCGCTGCCCAGCCCACGTGGGGTCCTGGCCCTCATGATCCTGCGGCTCACATACGGGACACATGGGCTCACAAGCATCTGAATTCTTTTGAACTCTTTTTGAACCTTTATAAGCTTCGATCAGGATCCGAGGCCCGCTCAATGCGCCGCAGGGCTGGAAGACTCTTCTCCCTGCGGACATGCCCTCTTATGTGCCCTCCCCTTGCCCTCCCCCTCCCCCCACCCCAGAAACAGTTTGCATGAACCGCAACAGAGATTTGAAACAGGCAATAAACTGCAAAGTCAGTCCCAACCCGAAATCATCCGCCGCCGCAGCCTCTTCCATTTGTGGAGGGCTGTCTGCGTCTCGGCCCGCAGGGCAGCGCTCCTGCTCTTGTCCGCGTGCGAGTCGGACCTGCGGTAACTAAAGCGCTTGCCTCCCCCAAGCCTGCCAAAAAAAAACACCGGGCAACTTCCCCACTCATTTAAACCGTGATTGCTTTGCCCTCCTTTTGCTGAAGGCTGCAGCGCATCGACATCGAATACCCCGTGCTTGTATCGAAATGACTTGCTGTGCCAAAAAAGGCAGGCCATACATCGGCCAGGCCAGTTGTGCAACACCCTGCATTTCGCGCCAATCGTGCCCTACTTGTGAAGCACCTTGTAGATGGGACTTTGCACTTCCGTGGCGTGTGGCAACTGAGGAAGTGCAGCCCCAAAGCTTTAAACATTTTGCTGGATGCTGCCACCACACACAGGGGGCGACAGATTCAGAAAGAATGCAATCTCAAAAAGTTGAGCAAACAATGGAAACTGACTGATGAGGAATAACACAGCTGAAGTAACTCTGTCTCTTGCCTCGGCTTCCACATCTGCTCCAGCTCGTTGGTGTACAGCTTCTCTCGAACTGAACGATGAGAAAGATGAGGAAGAGAGCGCAAGCTGAAGGCCGCAAGAAGGATAACGAGAAAAGGGGGCAAGAAGGTAGAAATTCTGAAAGAGCAGGTTGCTGTCTCAAAAGAAGAAAAACTCTTGACAAGGCCGAGCACGCTGCCGTGGGCTCTCAGCTCGGAAGCACATCGGCGGAAGGGAGCCATCTGCCACTTCACCTTCCAGACTGCTTTCTGCCAAAAGATGTACTGAACTGTTCATCAAGGTGGGGCTTCTTGGCTTCTTGCAGCCGGCCAGCCGGGAACATCCCAAAGGATCTGAGTTTCGTGCCTGCTGACGTACTTTGGCATCGCGTTGGTCTGGGGCCAGCCGAACCTTTCGAGACTTGCCCAAGACCTGTGGGGAGGTCTTAGAACAGGCCCTCTCCAGGCCTGCGTGCCGGACTGCCCTGCTTGCAGTGCCGCCATAAGCTCACCTGGCCAGCATGTGGGAAGTGTGAAGTAGATGAAGTAGCAGAATCTGGAACAGTGAAAAGCTAAGTTTGGTCTCCTCACAGGCAAAAGCAAGCTGCCAGAATGGCCGATAGTGGTCCCACCGTCTCGGTTGCACCTACACAAGGATTGCACCAGCACCCATCACTGGCCCATCTCCCTTCTTCCGTTCTCTTAAGTCCATGGCTCCACTATGTCCATGATCAGGCGCAGGTCCCCGGTGCTTTCGTCCCATATTCGAATATCCTGTGGGCGCACGACAAGTCCACACGCCACAACGTGCCTGTGCCACCATTCAGAGAACCTCCAAGATCTTCTTGAGCTGGTGGTACTCCAGGCTGGCCTGTTGTCAAAAGAGAGTCTCTGCAGACTGCGAGAGAGACAGAGAGGGACGATGAGAGACTAGTCTAGCCAGTCTAGCAGTCCCAATCAGAAAGAGGGTGAGAGATAGAGAGAGGATATGTTCTGGGCTAATGCGAGCATCTGTTTAATTAATACCCCCACATTTAAAGAATTTTTTTTCGCCGAGAGGCCCGCCGGAAGACTACTTTCCATTACGGTGGATTTCGTATGGGCCAATACCACCACATTGAAAGAAAATGTTTTCGGGGAGGTTCCAAAATCTGTCGGCAGTTTTCTTGTTTTGCTTGCTGAGCTGCGAAGCTACAGCACCTCAGGGATCTGCGGCCTATTGTTTTTAATAGAGAATCAAGACAGGGCCACGGTCTTACTATTGCGGAACCCGGCCTTTCTTATTGCGGTGGGAGGGGGGGGGGCCCCCCAATTAAACAGATGCTCGGATTATAGAGAGCGTCTGGAGTGCTGACTTCGCCTCCCGTTGGTCTGCGCGAAGGGATGCGAAGGCCTCTGGGATTCCCCCGTACTTCCTCGGCTTCTGAAAAATCTGAAGGCCGAAAGCGCCAAGAAGAGGTTCCACTGCTCATCACTGCCCTCCGGAACGATCCCATCAAGCCATTTTGGACGAAAGTGGACACGCCGAGGCTCGAGATGCAGGCCAAGCGCAAGTCCTGCTCACATCGCCGTCCAAAGTCCAAACGCAATGACATCAAAAGTTAGATGAAGGCTCATGGGCTGCAGCAGGGATGCAGTACGCTGCAGATGACTGATGTCTCGCCTCCAGCGCCGTCGACGGGGCAAAGAGCCGCACACCATGCTCGAACTCCGTCGTAGTAAGCTGAAGAACAGGGGACGGTGGAAGAACCGGAGGAAAATTCAGCAAAAACTTTGCCGGCTCTTTAGCAACCACGGAAAACTTAAGCATTGGTAACCATTGGAAGCCACAAGAAGGCCTTGCCGTCTCGATTGACATCCATGAGGTTGAAAAGCGCCTTGGTATCCTGCTCGGACAGTTGTACCTGTCACACCCCGTGCCCTGAAGCAAAGGTCACACCCAAATGCTGCGCATTGAAGTCATGATTCTCGACACTGTTGTCACATGTCTTTGTGCGTGCGTGCGAGAGTGCGGCAGCGTGCGCGTGCGCGTGCGCGTGCGCGTGCGCGTGTGCGTGCGCGCGTGCGCCTGCACGCGTGTGCGCGTGTGCGCGCGTGCGCGTGTGCGCGTGCGCGCGTGTGTCCTTGTCCTGTCTGCATGTGCGTCGGGAGACCTTCACATTTCGCATGCCCGCTGTGGTGCTTTGTCAGCCTCGCATTTCAGAAGTGGATTTGCAAGGGGTCTTGCCTCGCGAGCTGGGTTTCTGCAGAGAGGCTCCAGGCTGCAAGCAGTTGCTTCAATCTGCTAAAGGAGATGCAGATAGGGGGTGGTCCTTCCCATGTGGGGAGTGTGTACAGAGCCAGTGCGAATAACGTCCATGTACTGGACATACTGGACTCTTCTATATGTTTTGGACCAGGATGTAGAGAAGAAAGGAATTTGAAGCAATCTCTGGCCCCCTTGGTCGACTGGAACTTTCGGCCTTCCTTCCTTCCTGCCTTCCTTTCTTTCCGTTGGCTGTCTCCTCCTGGAGCTCGCTCGGGGATAAAATTCTCTATGCAAGCCTCTATTTCCTTGTATTTGAACCGGAAAACCTCTATTTCCTCCGTGCTTTACTAGGAGACCCTGATACCCAAAAAAGAGGAAAAAGTCAAAATAAGTAGGGGCCCGTTCCGAACTCTGAGTCTCTCTTCGTTTTGCGAAACAGAGTGGCATCCAGCCTGCGTGTTCCAAAGAAGCCTAGGGTTGCAGTTCTTTCCTAGCCCTTTGCCGAAGCGTCACGAGCCAAACGGCATCACCGGGCCTGTCCAAGCATCAGCTGATACTCCTCCGGTGTTCGGCCTTACATCAGAAAAGTTGGGGGAAGAGTCTGGCAGCTCAACACTGGGCAGTTGACCGTCATCCTCGCTCTTGTCAGAACCAGGTCCGACCAAGTCCTAATTAGGACAACTTTTCAGCACAAGCCTGGGTGATAAGCCCTTAAACAAGAGGCATTTGAAGAGGCCCTGCCTTGAGAAGGTCTTGTGCCTTTTCGGTACCCAAGCCCGAGTGCTTGGCAATCCAGGAAGCCTCGGAACGTCTTCCCCCACGGAATGTTTTTTTCAGCAGCCACGCTGCTGGATCTGCTGGGCAGCGGGCCCGCCGAGACCTGGCAAGCACATGCACCATCATGCACCATCATGCACCCAAAGCGCTTCTTGGACTTCAAGGACGTTTTTCGGAGGTCTCCGGGCGATCTCTGAACTTCTCTCAAAGACTCAAATTGAGAACATCAAATTGAGCTTCTTTGCTCTCCGAGGCCCGGTCTCCTCAGCGGTCATGCCAGTCAACCCCTCGCTCCGCGGCGAGTCCTCAGCGGAACTTTTCTCCAAATGGAGCTGCTGAATGCCTTTGAGAGCACTTTGAGCACTTTGAGCTTTGCATGTTTGCGTTTGTATGCGTTTGCATGCCTTTGCATGTATTCGCATACCCTGCCTGGGCCACGACGATGGAGTGCCTCTGGTAGAGAGACCCCTTCCTTGTGACGAGCGAGGATCGGAAAGAACAAAGTCTAGCAGCCCCCTCTTCCGACCCTGTCCTGGAAGGTGCGATCTCGACTGCTGGAGGCGGTTCGAAGTCGACCTCCATCCAAATTCGAGCAGCGTTCCCAAACTGTTCTGCTTGAACAGAATTGAACAGAATCATGCCACCAGTGGACCTCATCAACTTCGAGGTCGTCGTCATTGCCGGCGTTGAGAAGCCCCCGCATACCTCGGAATGGCCCATGCTTTGGCTTCGACACTCCACCAAAATCACTCTAACGCCGACTCCTGGAACTGAGGCCCTACGGTTCATATGAAAAGAAATCCTTGCAAGCCTCGAAGACTACAGGTCCCAAAAAGATGGCCCTGTGCCAACGGGTAGACTCTAAAGAGATTTGGGGCCGCACTCCTGAAACGCTGCCGGACTTTGCGTCGGATCTCATCGAGGTAAAGGTTTGGCCTTCGCAGAGCAGAGAGAAGGGACTCTTTGTAGGGCAGCCGTTTGGTGCTTCGATCTTCACCGCGGTCAGAAAGAAAGAGAGAGTGGGAGGGAAGGAGGGAGGGAGGGAGGGAGAGAGAGAGAGAGCAAAGTATCCTCCGAGCCCGCGGCTCCGAGAGCGTCAGAGCCGTGACGAACTCGTCTTTACTGGGAAAGCGCTCGCTTAGGAAGAAAGAGCAGAAATGAGCCGAGTCTCTTAAGGGCTTCTCTCGCCTGATTTCGAGGCTGCCATCCACGTCGATGAGGCGGAAGGCCTTGCCTGCCTCGTGGGGCGTGAGCCTCGGCCGAAAAGTGCTAAGAAGCGAGAAGAAAAGAGAAAAGAGAAAGACAAAAGGAAAGGAAAGTCGAAACATCGTTTCGGGCGAGCACTTCCATGCAGGCACGGCATAACGGATGAATTCACCGATGTCCAGGGACTCCTGAGCACACGGCCAGCTGCTTGCATCTTGGACTAATTCTGAGACACTAGCGAAATGATGATGCAAATAGACTCGACTTTCTTCTTTGTTGATTCTTGCCGATGTTTGGCTGAGGCAGGGTCACCCTGGTCCATGTCTAGGGATGAGAAACAGTTCGAGAGCGTCCTCGGACGAGAAGCGCGGTTGCTCCGCATCACCCCACCGCAACTTGAGCATCAGCTGTCCACAGGGTGAAACTTGACCATCAACTGAGCACCAAGCCCAAACTTTTTTAGGATCTTGTCACGCAGGTCCTCAGCGTAAGTGAAACTTCAGCAAGCTGGGTTTGTGGGACGGAAATCATCTGTAATCCTCCAGCAACAATGAAGGCGAGATGGCGCTCATGGCTGCTGCCAGCATTTCCAGCGTTACCTCAGGGCACTCCCAACCGATAGGAGTGACAGCATGGCACGACTTCGCACGACATGGAATGGTGAAACCGAGGGCAACACTGTCTGGTGCGAGCTGTGCGGATCGTGGATTGCCCCGAAGATGTTCTCAGGGCGCGTTTAAATTTGCAGATGGGAGAGGACGAGAGGCCCAATCATGGCACAAGAGTCGGTGCAAACCTTGGACTGTGATGGATTCCGCTGATGTTACGCTGCTTTCTGCCTGGTGCTCAATCTCTTCTTCGACGCCTCACAGCATCTGCAGCACTCCTCCCTTGCATTTTTTTGCTCTCCCTCTGCTTCGTACTTGCTAGTGCTACTTCCTTCCACAGGCCTACTCGAGCGAGCGCCACGCCAAACTCCGCCAGGGTAAAGGATCTAGGATGCGCCAGGGAACCCGCACGTGCAAGGAGCACAAGGAGATGCATGTATACTTGCCTGCCAGGTTCCTTGTGAAGGTCCATACCCAGCAGGGCCTCAGATCAACAGGATCTCATTGTGGTGTCTGTGATCCCATCTTGTGCTAGGAGGTGGGTACGCACATTCAAGCATACACGGTTTACAAAGAGAACTGCCCAGCCACATGTACATGTTACTGCTCCAATCTGCTCCACCCCCCGCCTGTCTCATAGAGGTGTAGCCGAGAGCGATCCATTTCCGGCGCAAGTCCTCGTCAAGATCCGCCGAAGTCGTAAAGAGCACGCGTAGACTTTAACATGCACCCACCCAGCCAGAGCAAAACAGACTGAGGCAAACATGAAGCGACAGCAAAACCGACCTTTTCCGACCTCCCCACCTGCCTCCAGGGACTTCACAGGCGCTGCAGCTTCGACGGCTGTGTGAAACTCCTCCAGCGACACCACTCCTGGCACGCTGTGCACTGCGCGGTGCACTGCACTGTGACACTGTGACACTGTGCTTAGCATCGCCTGGCTTTCTCAGCAGTCGAAGGATTATGAGAAGGATGAAAAGGATCGAATGGTGGGTTTACAAGGTTTACTCCCCTGGAGCTGAGGCGAAAGGCCGTTCTTGTCATGGTCGAGGAACTCGAAGATCTTGAGGTGCTCCTCGCGCTTCCACCAGGAAAAACACACAGGCATCTGTGGTTGTCAAGCGCACAAGCGCGCAAGATAGTGCCAGATCGTGCAAGACCGTAGTGGACGGTTTTTGCTTCCGCTATTCAAGCCGTCGAGCTGTTTCGCTTGTTGCTGATGCTCGCTCTCGAATTGCTCTATCGGGTAGAACAGCGGCCTCTAGCCTCCATAAGTCTTTAATGCTGACTGCAACTTCTTATGGAGAGCCATCCGAGCTAGGCCTTCTGCACGGGGCCCTGACAGAGAGCGAAGACCTCTGAGGATCTACGCTGTCGATGCGCCACTTACGCATAGATTCTGGTGGAGCCCAGAGGTTTGAGCAGAGCCATCTCAGAGCGATGGTGCCTAACGCAAGTCACGAGCTGACACTGCCAGTGGATGCCAGTGGATGCCAGTGGATGCCAGTGGCCAGTGGCACAAACGTGTCCAAGCTCCATGCTCAGAGTCATTGTCGAAGCTAACGGCCCGTTAGACCTTTTCATCATCTGAGTCATGTATGTCACGTCACGTGTGCTTGTTCCACCTTGACCTTTGCCGAGGAGAGACTGAGACTAGGTGGCACACCATGCGAAGCTGGTAGTCCCCGTTCTGGGTGATGTAACGCACCCAAGGGAGTGCCTGCACAGGAGCCTAGTCTTTGCTTGGGAGTCCACTTCCAGCACGGGACCACACCCTTCTACCTACCTACTAGTTTCTAGCAGTTCCTGGTACGCGCATGCTTCCAACGCCTGATAGCCAGACTTCTCGATAATTTTGAGATACCTGGCACGTCAAGACACCATGATTGGAGAAATGCTTGTTGTTCAAACGTCTGGATGCACCTGACCGTCACTCCAGAAACTGTGAAGTACGGGATCTCGAACTTCACGGACATTGGCGCCTGGATACTCACTAACACCTGCTCAGATCTTACGTCCACTTTCTCAGAATCGACAGCTTTGTGCCTTCATGTAGGCATCTCGATTCTCCGCACCGACAGAGGGGAGACCGAAATTTGCCGTCATAATGAAGTCCTTCTGACCTGAACGAAGTTTGCGTTTCCTGAAAAGGCCCAGCTCCATCTTCAAGATCCGCTCTACTACAAGCCACACTAAGCCCAGTTGAGAAGACAGAAGACCTTCTCTCCTCGCCTCTGCTCTCGGTCAAAGCAGAGGTTTTCAAGGCTCTTCTCCCTCAAAAACCCAGAAAAACCTTAAACGCTGGGTGGCGAAAAATTACGATCGTGACAAGCTGCACACGTGAAAGATAGCAAACTTTGGAATTCTTCGGAACTTGCAGGGACATCTCTGAAGGCGGGTGAACCAAAAATCTACAAATAATATCGAAGGTCTAGTGAGACGGTGCCCAGCCCCGCAAACTTCAAAAACACCAAACAGGGCAGGGCCAGCGAAAACTGCGATTGTCCAGTTGGTGTGCTCTCGAAGATCGAGCGCAGCGTCTTTCTTTTATGTCTAAAACTCGGCTTAAGTTATAACGGCAGCGACTGCACACAAGCCTTAAAGTTTGACACGTCTTGCAATGAAAAGCAGTAAACTGGACAGGATCAACAAACTAACGAGAACAAGAACAGAACTCAAAGCCGCAGGCGAGGAGCCCGCCCAACAAAAGAGAACTCCTAAAACTCATGCCTTCTGTATAGATAAGTAAACAAGCACACAAATGTGTGTATGTCCATTAGGGGACAGAAGGATCTCTCTCGTAAGGTAGCATCGTGCATGCTTGAACATGTAGGGCCAGAGAGTTGTCATGTCCGTTCGGCGAATGTGTTCGGTACTGCTAACGGTAGGTACAGCACGACCACGAAACAAAAGCTTGAAAAAGCCTAGATCATAGAAGAATGGTGCGCGTATCATTTGAAGATGCTGTGAGAGAATATGTTTGTAGATTGATCCCCAGCGCCCCTCTCCCAGGGCCCCTCTCCATTTTTCAGGACTAGGACGGCATCAGCGCCGGCACCCCTAGGACAGCTCCAGCTGGGCCTTAAGCTCCACGAAAAGCTTTCGTGATCTGGGCTTTCACCTCCTTGAAGCTGTGTCTGTAGATATTGAAAAGAATCAGCCGTTGTGTCGTGCTCTCCCCCTTGCGCAGCATGTTCGCTGCCGGAACCACACTGACTTTAGCGGGCTCCTCCAGGCGAGTCGCCACAACCTTCTTTTTCGTACATCTCTTTGCTTCTTGCTTTCTTGCGAGCTCCCCTCTCCCCTCGCCCTGCCTACCCCCATGCGAGCTCCACGTTGCACCAAAATGGAAATTTAGATTCAGTTTAGATCTACCTTCACATGGACACGTTTCGAATGCGGTGAAAACACCACTGACGCGACCTGTTACCAAACTAGCTGGGGTCGAGTCCTTGGAACTGCTTGATGCTCCAGACTATGCAGTCCTGGCATTGCACAACATGACAGCTACTCGAATGAAGCAGCATGCTTGATGTAAAGTCTGAGATGTAGCATGGAGCGCACGCCTGCCTGATCAGGGATATATCTGACGGTGCCAATCGACGTCTTGAACGACGGCGAGTCTACGTCTGAAGGGACCGGGATGTGGATTTCCACGTTGTTGGCTACACTTCGCCTGGTAGTTTGGCAGTTCAATCGGCAGTTACTCAGTTGCATTCAGTTGTCAGGACAGGAAGATCAACATATCAACTGGGTGCATAGCGACTTGAATTGCGATTTTGCTTTTATCATATACCTTGGCTGAACGCGCTTGAATCTAAAGCTGTCAGCTGACCCGACCATGAAACGGCGACTCAGCTTAACGGCAAGACAAGCAAGACAAGCCAGTATCCACAAAGCCGCTCAATCCTCGACCGAGAATGGCCGGGGTCCACGACTGCCTGTCATTCGAAGCTCAGAGCGGGCAAAGGCCGCTAAAGGTTGGCTCGGCCTCCACCCATATGAGAGGCTTCACATGAGTGTTCAGCCGATAGCTCATCAGCTCAAACTCGCCATCAGGCCTCAGTGAACGAGCGTTCAAGCTTTGAGGTCCTCTCGTATGCTCCTTTGCCACGTCCGCTTGCTCGAAGGTTCATTCTGCCGAGCCACGGAATGAAGGAAATCGTGCGGTCATTCTCGAATCGAGCGAGCCGCACACACTGATGGAACTTGATGTCCTTCACTACGAATGCGATGCTCAGTTGCTCCTACCCTGTACACACCACAAACTTTCGCGACGACTATGAACGTTGCCTCCATCTCCACAGATTTCCCCTTGGCCACAGGTCGTCCCGTGGCCTGCCGGCTCTCAAAACGCATAATTTGTCCCCAAGCACCGGCCTGCTGGGAACCTCGAACAGAAGCTTGTCGTTCAGACCCAGCTTCAGCTCTGGCATGCCGGAAAGGTAGGACCTGAAGTCCACTGTGTCTGGCATTGCCTCTACACAGAGATATTCGACTGAGAAGCCGACTTCATTTTAAGTGCACCCAGAATTTCCGAACGAAGCACAGAGCCGTTTGCTGAGACTAGCAAGTTGAGGCGCTCCACCTAATCCGAGATTGAGCTCAACACACGTTGCATCAATGACACTAGCAGTCTTGCATGCAGAATGTCGCACAATCCGGGATGCGGGCAACATCGAGAAAAATCTCGTTTTTCTTGTGTTTGATCCCCTCAGACCGCCAAGACCTGAGCGGCCAAGCACTCTGAAGACATGCTAAAAACATCTAAAGATGTTGATCATGCTTTGATCATGTTTCTTTAATGCTCAACGGCGCGCGTATCAGGGCGGCTCCGTGGAAAGCCCTGCAAACTCGGCTTGCCACACTGCGTTTGTAACTGCGGTCGGCGGTCGCATCTGGTCCACAGAGAGCCTACACACAGTTCACGCAGGTGCAAAGATCACCAGGATCACGAAACCCACGAAACCAATGCAAGGAGGGTCCCTTGAGCTCCCCACTGGTGCGACTGGGTCTTAATGTATTCCCTCAGGATTTTCACCTGCGGGCAAACTTTCTCCGGTAGACTCGACTCAGAGATGTCCAGTGCCTCGGTTGTCTGAGGGTAACCATTGTCCATCATCTCGTCTAGGAGCTCGTAGGTGATCACAAAGTTGTCCTGATCTTCTCTTGAGCAAACACAGAGCAACACACAGCTGTCTTTAACATGGCCGAAATGCCGTCCTTTATGCTTTCCTCTTCAAGCTCATTGAAGTAATCTCTGAGGACCTGGAGGTCACCAGGGCAATCACATGAAGCATCTGACGGGTTCACCCCGACCTCCGCCAATCTATAAAGGAAGGCCACGATCAGGGTGGCATTGGAGTTTCTCTGGGTGACAGCCTGAGCGAGCTCCAATCAACTGACAGAATCGGAAAACGTCCAACAGATTGCTACGTGCGTGATCTCAAAGCCCCGTGCTAACAGGTAGAGGTTGTTATACCTCAGTGCCGCATCGCATATATTGCGCATCTGTCAATGTCTATCAGGCAAATTACAGGAGGTTGATCGAAGTGTTGAGCTGTTCCGCCAAAGAGCTGGATCCAGGCGAAACTAATGCCGTCCTTCGAAAAAGGTGGTGTGCTTTACGTGGAAAACATGGATGCGCTGCTGCTCGTGAGTCCTCGCAGAAGACTGGTTTTATCGTGGCATCCTCGGCATCGATGACGTGCTGCTGGAACCTTGCCAGATCGCAACGGCGGAAGAGCTTCTGTCCCGAAGTTGGGAATCGACACGGCCTCTCGGTGATGTTCATCGGCACTTCACCTCGATAGTTTCGGCCTCGCAAGAACATGTACGATAACTGCTCTCATGCTGACACGACTTGTGGCCCATATTCACTCCGAGACCCGTGCTGATGATGACCTTTCCCTTCATGTCCATGATGAAGACCTCTGCATGGTTCTGAGGCTGTACTCCCTGTGCTCCCTGTGCTCCCTGGGCTCTGAGACTGTGCATACTGAGACCCAGGCCGCAGAGGCCCCCGCCATGGGCTCGGCGCCTGGAGAACACCTCGCTGAGCAAAAAGAACACAAAAATACCGGATTCACCCCGCCCTCTCCCCAAAGCCCAAGCAGTTCTCCCCCACACACGCAGACACACACGGACACTAGCCAATGACGAGCCAAAGCGGCGCGGTGCTCGATCCAGCGCGCCAGAGCGCATCACACCATACCACAACCCTACCCTGCCTTCCTGGAGCCGGAGAATCACGGAGAATCACGGAGAATCCGGCTATCAAACGAGAGCCGAAGCCCTTATGCTCAGACTTGCTGTGCTATGTCACAACATGTACAAAATGCATGCCCTGCTTCCACCATTGAGCTTCACTGTCCACCTCCTTCGGCAGTCCGTTGAAGTTTTTGGACAGGAACCGCGAGAACTCCTGCTACTTACTAACCAACTGCCGACAAGCAAGGTCCACGATCTGGAAATGAAGTAAATGAAGCTCCTTTTTTGTGAGCTCCCTCGTGCTGCCATGCTCCTGTGCAAACCTTACATTGCAGACATGGGCGAACTGGAAAGGTCTCGGATACCTTGCAATCAAACAAGCCAACCGCGTTTCGAATGCGGACTTCATGGTCGAGAACTTCTCGAGGATTCGCTGTCGAAAGTGAATCAGCCTTAGCTGCAGCAGGGTCAACTGTTGGCGATTGGCTGCCCGTCTTCAGTCGCGGTCAAAGTCAGATGAGTCAGAGAAGGTCGTGCAGGTGCAAACACAGAGCTTGTTCAAAAGCACCGTCAAGCTTCCCACCGCCTGCTGGCCTGTGACAGTGACTTGTTTGTCGTGATACCACTCACCTCAAGTCGCCCAGAGATGTCCACTGGCTTTCACTGCACACATAGCTTCTGAGGCGGACGCAAGCGTGACACGGTCCTGGGCTTCCATGCTGACATCGGCTGCTGCACGGGCGGCTACATCCAAGGGCTCGGCAGAGACATGGTTCTGCCTGAAGCGGGAGCTGTGATCACTCTTGCACTCTGGATCTTGGCTCCATAAGTTTATGCTTTGACCCTGTTGAGCCCACTTGTCTCTGCGTACTTGCATCTCATTTTCTACGTGGAAGGCGGGGCGCTCTGGCAAGTTGGACGATGTGTGCTTGCGCAGCTTCTGACTTTGAGACCTTGAAGCATTCTTCGACTCGCGCAAAACAAAGTGGAACACACAGGCACACACAGGCACGAAGCACTAATCGGACTAATCGCCTCAGGAGATGTGTCAACAATGTGTCAGGGACCGAGCAGCCGGCTTGCCGAGTTTGGCATCTTCCTTGTCCCTGGAGGGAGGTCTCCGAGGAAATATCCTCGGAAGGCTGAGGGCCAATTGGCGACTTGCGTCCTAAGCCAGCTGCCCAAGTGCCAATCTCATCTAACAAGCTCGCAGTCATTTCCTGCATCGAAACAGCGTTCCTGCTCTTATTTACTCGCACGTGCAAGAACCGCTCGTGGTAGCCTCCTTCGGCAGCATCGCGGGTTTCTCCGCGATGGGCTCGTGCCTGACAATCCAACCACAAAATCCGGCGTTAGAAAATCCGGGGGCAAATCATAAAACACACAAATCCTGCACTGACAGACAAGAGAGCTATCTTTAGAGAGGGAGAGAGAGGGAGAGACAGGGAGAGACAGGGAGAGAGAGGGAGAGAGAGGGAGAGAGAGGGAGAGAGAGGGAGAGAGAGGGAGAGAGAGGGAGAGAGAGCGAGAGAGAGGGAGAGAGAGGGGGAGAGAGAGAGAGAGGGGGAGAGAGGGGGAGAGAGGGAGACACCCCCCCCCCCCCCCCCGAGATGAACCTGGCCGTCTCCTGCTCTTTGGCTTCCTGAAACGGTTGAAAGAAAACTGTCAATGCAAAAACCACTCATCTTTGTGAGAAGCTCGCTGCTTTGGCTTTTGATCCCCTTTCTGATCCCGGCGGTCCTGGGGCGAGGAGGCTGCCCGGTAGCGATAGAACTCACCCTGCGCAAGCTGAACTGGCGGCTTCGAGCAACAAACTTCAGAGGCTTCCCTCTCTGGCCCTCCCTGGCCCTCTTTGGCCCTTTCTGGCCCTGGCCCTCTGTTCTTTCCCCGTGCGAACCCTCATCGCCGGAAGGGTGTGGAGGCCCAGATCACCGTGGACCTTGCACAAAAACTAAGCATGCAAATGTGAAGGCCCACTTTCTGCCCTTCATGCCTTCCTCATAGGGCCCATGTTCTGCCAGTACACCTCGGCATGCTCAGATTGCTTGCAAAACTGTTTCATGGCACCTCATGGCACTTCATGGCACAGACAAGCTGGCCTCGGCTTTCTGGCGATATGTCGATGACGGAGACGGAATCCGCTGGAAGCATCTCAGCTCCTTGCAGAAAGTGCTGAAAACCAACTCCCTTGTCTCAAATTGCACACTTTGATGTCTTTTCGGGGGGCGACCGTGTCCTCAGCATTGAAGCGGCCACTGCCCAACAAGCGGCGTCGAGCTGGGGAGCTCGATACGGACTCCGACCTCTGAAGCTTGAAGCAGATTTCCTTCAATGTCAGGCTCTGGCACCGGTGATCCAGAAGCAACCACAGCGCCACAACACAGCTTACGTACAATATCCTGGGCTCTGGCAGGTATGTCGGAGCTGTGGATGGCGGTCCCTGTCACAATGAAACACCACATGGAGGTGGGTATTGGGTGCGCACAAGATGCAAATCACGTGACACCAAGTGGCCAGACTGCGCTTCGCTCCATCCACTCCTGGCCTCGACGCAACCGACAAAAGCAACTAGAGACACCGCAGAGAAAGAAGACACTACGAAACGAGTGTGCATCACCATCGACTCTCGACATGTAATGACCATTGCTATGAGCAAGTCTTAAGCCCAAGTCAACGAATATCGCACATCATCAGCCATGATGCCATAGCGGGCAAATTCCGAACATTCTGTGCTGAAGTTCGTGCCTACACAGCAGTTTACATGAACTTTGCTCAGGGTTCTCCGCATATATGCGTATCCGCTAGCAAGCCGCTGGAAATGACCCATGTCTATGAGTTGCTGGCAAATCAACAAACTCCTCGATGAGGGCTTCGTTGATGAAAGTGCGTTCGCTAAGTTTAACAACATTAACAAAGTACTTGCGGCAGGCAATCAAATCTCATGGATATGGTACATGCTGGAACTCCGGAAACGAGAAGACATGGCATTGTCCCAACCTTACTCTGCGTGGAAGCTGTGCTGGTGCGACAGTGATTGAATTGCATGCTGTTTACACTAAAAGAGAATAGGAAGATGCACGCCTTGCAAAACGATCTTGACGCCTCAGCCCTGAGTTTTTGCGACTGGCCAAATATTGCAGAGAATTCACGCAGCCATGGAACAAAAGTAAACTCATATTTCTCTTGAGGGCGGAAGCGAACAAAAGTAAACTCATATGTCTTTTGCGGAATCAAGTTCTGGAATTATGATCGCAAAAGCATCGCAACGTCCCTCAAGGTCTTGGCACGTATGCTTGTTTGGCTGACATCTCTGCCATGTCTGGAGAACGAAAATATGCATAAGCAAAGGCTTGGACGTCGATGTTCTCCGAGCAAAGTGATTTGCCAAATCCGCACTAATCTGCATCTCTGCAGGCAGTAGACGCCGAAACCTTGCACCAGCTGGCAGCCCTGAGCATCTCCAAGAACGATGTGCAACATTATGTGAGATGGCCTTGATCTGGTGGAAGATCATAAAAACTTTCAAAACCGAAAACGGGGCTGGGAACATAAATTCTTCAACTACTTCTTATGGTTAGTGTTCGGACCGGTTTATGTCGTTCCAAAATCAGTTGACATGGCAATTCGGTCACACCATAGGCTTGAGATTGAAAGATTGCTTGCTGACAAATACTTGTCGCTTGAGTTTCCGCCGTTTTTTTGCATCATGTTGTTTTATGCCTCGCCCAGGGTGTTGAGATATGCAATGAGCCCCTGAAGAAAAAATCTTGGCAGGATGCCCGTTTACGACTGTTGTGGCGTGCTGTGGCAAAACTTATTGTGGGACCTGACACGTGACTTGCTGCTGCTGCTGCACCAACGTCCCTTTCAAATCACCACTTGAGTTGACGATGTCGGTATGGATACCGCGAACAAAAACAGTCTGGCGACCGCTAAGCACATGGTTTCTTGCTGCTGGGCTTGTGTGGCTGGATTGGGCCTTCTGGGACTCGACATGGCGGTTGAGAAAAACGGCTTGATTGGGATTTCGAAGGAGCTACGATGGGAGCTGAAGTTGCTGTTGCGCAAGCTTCCTGGCCCAGTCCCGAACGTGCATGGTGTGTTGTAAGATCTTGGTCTCGACAAGACACGTCGGTTGCCGACATAAAAGCAACGCGTTGCCAAAGCAAGCAAACGTTTGTGGAAGCTGAACATTTTCGACAGGGGTGAAAAGCAGAGGCTGCATCGCACCAATGTAATTCGTGCGCAAGTCTGGGGGCAACAGCACCATGGGAGAAAGCCACTGGCAGTTTTGCCGGCGAGGAGCTGTTCATGTTGCTATGTCCTTCACTTCATTGGGGGCATCACAGGATACCATTGTTTTTCCTTGCGCAACAGCAGTTTGAGCTTTGGATTGAACTTGTTAGCTGTGCACAAATTGGGTCCTGGCGGTTGCTGGGCCAAGTTTTGCAGACGTCCCTTGACATGCTTAGGAAGGCTAAGCACAGATGGCAAGTTGTGAAAGGGTCCCTTGCTGCTTGCCAGGCAATGCTTCTTGGTCATGGTTGGTCGCTTGATGCAATTGATTGCAATTGACAAGTGGCGCGACCCTGCTGGCGCCACTTGATATGTTGACTATGAGTGTCCTTTGCGGGCATGTCTTGTCCCTGCAGGCCTGATTCCCAAGTTCGTTGCTGCTCTGTAGTCGCCAGCGTCCTGCTTGGGGAGGCCTCAGGGCACTACAGGACTGCCCCTCTCATGTTTTTGAATTTGACTGACGGTGGCTCTGCAAGAAGTGCTGTAAGCGAGGAGCCCCGAATCTCAGTCGGGGCTGGCAAGCTTTACTTTTGTTTGTACGGAAAGTATGTTAGATGATGGAGTCGGTTTTCGAATCATCGTTTGATGAAATGGCTGTACAGTTCCACAAAGACTGTACCACAAAAAGGACCTAGCCTATATAGGTTGAAACTTGAACCTGCGTGAGGCACGGGACTCCCACGGGACCCTATGTTTCCGGTTCCCTCACTTGAACCCGCAACAATAGGTCACTCTCTCGTTTTCCACTCGGCCGGAACGATCTCCCGGTCGTACAGCGCAAGACTGACAGTGCTGTGGTCTCCAGGTAAATACACGATATGACCTGTTACCTATGCGATCGCTAAGGTATTCGAGCCGAAGCTCGTTCCTGAGCCACACGGGCACGGCGGTGTGAAACAAAGAGTTTCACACCTCTTCCCAGTGAACGCAGTGGCACATTGCTCCACTGCCATCCGAAGATGGTGGCCATAAGCAAAGGGTTCCATCCGACACCAGTCATCTTTGAAAAGGGAATCGTCAGCCGCAGCTTTCCGCACTGCTATATCCGGACGGAAATAGCGAACCGTCTGCTTCGCGCCAGATCATCAGTCGACGTTGAAATCTCTGCGTCGTCCTCAATGCAAGAGTGGAAGGTAGGCGCGGATTTGGCCTTGATTTCGAGCCCCAAAGTCCTAGCTTTTGCCCTCACTGGCACGTCCTCTTCGTCAGGATCCTCCGGCCACAAGAGTTGGAGGAGGATGCGGATGGATTTGTCATCCACTCGATGGGTTGCAAACGCATGCTTTCAGTAGCCCTGCGGCTGCTTCACGTTGCATGTACGAGTACATCTGGACACCCAAGACCGAACACACGCCCGGACGTGGTCAGGCGCATGCTTCGACATCAGCCCCCGTATTGGTTGTCTAGATGTCCATCTTGAAGCGCTGCTTCGGGATGCCCAAATGGATGCAACCTCTCACCAAGGACATATGCCATGAAAGCATCGAGGCGGCACTACAACTTTGCGATACGGTCGATACACGCTGCCATCACGCTGCACCGGCTCCATCTAAACACATCTCGAATTTCAGCGCCGTGTGACCAATTTCACCAGGCATCTTTCCACGCTGCGTTCACCTCTCTGTCTATTGTTGCTGGAACCATGCGGGCACACATGAGAGCGTGTGAGCTGCAACATCAAGACCGGGGTGGCTTCACCAACGCCGCACCGCATGGTTTGCATGAGCATAGACTGAACAGTAACAAGGGGCAACGATTGCCCGCTCGGAGCCATGTTCTGCATTCCTATGGTCCTGAGAGAGATGGCCTGGGCGCAACATCTCATCAAGGCTCCACAGCATCACGTTGCTTGCTTGGCTGTCTCCATTGGGTCAGCACTGCTTTCCGCGGCATTTCTCGAATGTGACTCCTTCTACTCGCCCATATCACCCAGCTGCATCGCCGATGGGTCGGCATTTTCGGGGCAGTACGCTGCCTGCAGCATGCGAAAAGCGGTGTTCACGCAGCACAGGTTTTCGGGATTCTGTCTAGTCTTTTGACGCAAACCAGCCGTGGAGTGTGCCCCTCCCTGCGCCCCTTGTGTTGGCACATTTCCTGCTGCATCATTGCCAGTCGTTTTAGGATAGGTCCACACGCCCAAACCTCAACTCTGAACGCCCCTGAGCCCTAAACCCTAAAAAACCCTAACCCTAACACCCGCTAAGCCGTAAACCCCAAAACCCCCAAACCCTAAACCCGAAAACTAGAAGACGATTGGCCCGAAAGCATCGTTTTGCGGTGCGTTGAGTCTATGCACTTGACTCTGTGCGATCGAACTGTATGCACTTGGACAAGTGTATGCACTTAAGTGTATGCACTTATATGGTTGCATACTCACTTGTATACTGCACTTGTATACTGGACGTGTATGCACTCGACCTGCATGGCATTCAAGTGTGTTGAGTTGAATGCCATGCACTTGTGGTCAACTCTATACACTTCATTGGCATTCAATAGATCTGAAGTAAACGGACTTGAACTGTATGAACTTCACTTGCATGCACCCGACTCGGCTGTGCACGTCCTGTCAACGCGATGCTATGAAAGAAAAGACAAAAACATCTAACGCGAGAGCCGTCAGCCATGAGCATCATCGGCAGTCGCTCTGAAGTCCAAGCTCACACTCCAGAGCGCCTTTCAAAGAAAAAAGGACAGAAGAGCGAGGTTGGCAAGAAGACCTTGGAGCTTCAAAGAGCAGAGAAGCACAGTGAAATCTGACCGAAGTGAGTTTCGCGCGCCGGGAATTAAATAACCATGAAATTTGCGATGTTTTCGCACGCCCGGCATTGGAGCACCGTGTGATTTTGCGAAATCGGTGACCGTGGTATTTGCAATGGTTTTGGAACCAGCGAATTCGGGGACCGTGGTATTTGCCATGGTTTTGGACCTTTGGAACCAGCGAATTCGGGGACCATGGTATTTGCGATGCTTTTGGAACCAGCGAATTCGGGGACCATGGTATTTGCGATGCTTTTGGAACCAGCGAATTCGGGGACCATGGTATTTGCGATGCTTTTGGAACCAGCGAATTCGGGGACCATGGTGTTTGCGATGCTTTTGGAAACAGCGAATTCGGGGACCATGGTATTTGCCATGCTTCTGATACAAGCGAATTCGGGGACCATGGTATTTGCGATGTCAGTGCGAGAGAGAGAGAGAGAGAGAGAGAGAGAGAGAGAGAGAGAGAGAGAGAGAGAGAGAGAGAGAGAGGAGAGGAGAAGTAGAAGAAAGAGAAAGAGAGAAAGAGAGAAAGAAGAAGAGAGAAAGAGAGAGAAGAAGAGAGAAAGAGAGAAAGAGAGAAAGAGAGAAAGAGAGAAAGAGAGAAAGAGAGAGAAAGAGAGAAAGAGAGAAAGAGAGAAAGAG